GTGTAATCAATAATGATGATTGGAAATGCATCTTGGTTCTGTTGAATATTGGTAAGGAGCTTTAAAAACTTCACAAGGAAGCAGGCAGTTCATTATTTACTTTTCTTCTTGAGCAAAAAGGAGTGGGGAAAAACCCGAGGTGGGTGAGGTAGGGAAACAAAAAGGAAAAGAACAGTGTTGATTGCTGATTGTAATAATCAAATATGAGTCATAGTATTAGTTGTACAGATTGACAAAGAAGCAGCATAATAGGTTATGATTTACATTAATACCAGTCATGCAGCTAAAGTATTCGGCAGGTGCCAGCTAGAGATTCATTTAGAGACATAGGTTGTAGCTACTGAAAAGAGTTGTCAGCATCAACTCCTTGTATTAGAAAATTCCTGTCAAGCAAATGAGATGAGTAGTACTCACAGAAATAGCATCTCTATATGTGGGAACAAAAGTGGAATTCTATTGTGTAACAGAAATGCGAAATAGTTTGAGGTTCAGAAGACGTGAAATGCTTCCAATAAAGAGCATCCGTAACAGATGGCCATACATTTAGGAACGCATTTCAGGTTTCTGCAATGATTCATGCATGCTAACAAAATCATCCAAGTCCTGTCCTCCCACATGGAGCAGTGGATATCGTTGTATCAACTGCTTTTTGATTTTTTAATTGGATGATTTTAACAGTTTATTAAACTGAAAAATCTTTATTATACAATCAAACCAAAGCACACTCCACCTACGTTGACACAGCAGTGTTATTCCGAAATAACATAGTTCACATCTACACTACAAGCAATTATTTCAACATCATGTCAAAATAATTTGAAGCTGCAGGATTTCTTACTCCGACTCCTGTAACTCTCATTTTGTGAGGAGTAAGGAAAGTTGGAGGAAGAGTGCTCTGCCCCAGACTTCCTGCTCTGTAGGCAGCGCCAAAAGCCTAAATAAGCTATTTTGAATTAAGCTACACAATTGATGTGGCTCAAGTTGCATAGCTTATTTCGGCTTTAGCCCTGCTGTATAGATATGCCCTCAGTGTTAACAGAAAATTAATGTCTGATCATCTTCATCTACTGTGCTGCACATATGCCATGATCCATTCATGTTTTGCTTCCTAGTACTATCCAGAAGTGAGTGACACAATTCTGCTTGCATTTTAAAAATAACTCAATAAAGGAAAAATAATGAGGAATCTGGTGGCACCTTAGGGTACGTCTACACTAAAAGCTTCTTTCGGAAAAAGCTATTCCAGAAGATATCTTCCGGAAGAGCTTATTTCGAAATAGAGCACCCACAGTACAGGGAAGTCTCAAAATTAGTGTGAGGCAGGTTCCCCGAATGTGGTTGCCCCAGGAGGCACTCGAGAGGAATGACTTAGAATGGCCCTGGTGAGGAGCTATTTCGACATAGCAGCAGTGGAGCATTCTCACGCACCCTCTTCCAAAAGAACTTTTTCCGGAAGAGGTGTTATTCCTCATGGAATCAGGTTTACCAATGTCAGAAAAAGCCCTCCAATATTTAGATTTTCTTTCAAAATAACGCAATTGTTGTGTGGACAGTAGTATTGTTTTTCCAGAATAAGTCATTATTCCAGAATAACAGTGCAATGCAGATGCACCCTTAAAGATTAACAAGTTCATTTGGGCATAAGCTTTTGTGGGTTGCAGCTCATTTCATCAGACACATGAAGTGGAATCTTCATTTGGCATGGATTTATACATACATACAAAGATGGAAGTGCTAATGAGGCTAATTTAATTAAGGTGGACACTTGAGCACAAAAAACCTTCAAAAACAGCCTTCAGCTTGAAACTGCAGAGCTGGAATTCATATGAAAACTTGACATCATCAGACTAAGTATGAATAGGGACTGGGAATCCTTTTTTACCACTGGTCCTCCATATAATGTAATGTAATGGGGCTCCTGGTTATTTTTTCTTAAACAGACTAACACTGCTCTCCCTCTGAAACTTGTCTCAATAAACAAAGAGAGAGAAGAAAAGTAGGCTTTGGAAAATGGGAGTCCTTCCAATTACCCTGGTGATCAGAATACTGAGTTGGTTACCCCCAGCCATTCTGAATAGTAGTGGATGATGGGAGCCACTAGGTTTTTTATGTTATTCCCAGAAGCACTGCACCTGCCCAGAAAGCAGTGATGCTGCTTGCAAATGTGTTGCAGTTTTGGAAGGCTGCCCAGCTGATGTTTTGTAACTCAGTTGCAGTGTATCATTCTATGGAGGATAAATATCCGGAATGCCATTATAGTACTGGGTAGAGATTTAAGGGATATGTGTGGGTATTCTCATTTTTCTGTCTTCTTAGATTTGTCTTTTCTGGCATGCCTACATTTCTCCCTATGTAGAAAAAAATATCTTTTTCTAATGAGATTTTTTTGTATCCCTCTCTTATTTCAGAACATAACATTTAAACTAAATTGAAAAAGTAATGGAACATAATGGGCTGGTGTTTGAAACCTCTGTTACTGCAGATATAATTTGTAACTTACAATTAATAGTTGATGCAAGATAATTGCAGCTAATTCATACTGTCAAAAATACATTTCCAACTCTGTGACCTGTGGGCGCCTTGCCAGAGTTTGGATGCTTTATATGCTATAAATTTCACATGGAAAGACTGGAGATTGGATGATCTCCCTTTTAAAAAGTAGAGCTCCATACTTGCTCTACAATTACTAAAGAAAAATAGAGTGTCAAGTTTATTTCATTTGGAGTGAAATAAATCTCTGAATGAGTGGGCCAAATTCTACCCTTGAGTTTTAACTTGGCTTGTTTGTAATGGAATCTCCTTAGCCACACAGACATAGCTATGTAACAATTCTACATTGTGATGTTTTGCTACTATTATGTACAAGTGATGTACCATCAATAGCCATAGTACCAGGTTTAAACTTGGAGAAGCATTATTGAAATCAATAGATCCAGAGCAAGTAGAAAGACTGCTATTATCATCAATGGGAGTAAGATCAGGCCCATAGTGCAGTACGGTTGGTACACAAAATTTCCCAGCAGCAAACCTGTGGCATATAAATTCCAAATAATTGGGTTGTAAGATCTAACCAAACAGCTCCCATGTCTTGTAGGAAACCAGTGTAGGCAGGCCGCTCTATGGAAGCAGAGAGAGACAATAGGTATGTGCGTTGGCTATAAAATTTAGTGCAGTTTCTAAAATTATCTTTATATTCAAAGTTATAGTTAATTCAGAATAAATACTAATGCTAATTAATGTTAATTAGATTTTTTATACAGAGCACTTGCACATTAAGGGTTCATGCCACTGGGTCAGAAAAATGTTAAACACACTATTACACAACATAGCAGTAATTTGCTGAAAGAGAAATGACTTAGGCATGTTGAATGCATTCAACTGCATATTGGGTGAGCTTTATGTAACTACTTCATGAGCAAGTTGATAATTTTGAAACAGTGAAATGGAAATCATATATCTTTCCCCAATGATCTGGTCTAAGAGATAAATGTAACTGGACTGCTTGGAAATAATGACCATAATATAATAAAATTTAATATCCCTGTGGTGGGAAAAACTTCTCAGCAGTCCAACACCATGGCATTTAATTTCAGAAAGGGGAACTACACAAAAACAAGGAGGATAATTAAACTGGAATTAAAATATACAGCAACAAAAGTAAAATCCCTGCAAGATGCCTGGACACTTTTCAAAGAAACCATAATAGAAGCCCAACTTAAATGTATACCCCAAATTAAAAAACACAGTAAAAGACTAAAAAAAGTGCCAATGAGGCTTAACAACCAAGTAAAAGAAACAGTGAGAGATAAAAAGGCATAATTTAAAAAGTGGATGTTAAATCTTCGTGAGGAAAATAGAAAGGAACATAAACTCTGTCAGATTAAGAGTACGGCTACACTGTGGGGGGGTTTTTTGGAAGAGGTATGCAACTAGTGCTCGCATTTGCATACCGTCTTCCGTGCTTTTTTCCAGAAGAGGTTTTTCTGCCATTTAGCCCTGTCTACATGGGGCCAAATGTCGGGAAAAAAATCCCTCTTTAGAAAGGCCCTGTAAACCTCGTTTGGGCCCTCCTAATGGGACCCTAGTTTGATGTCTTTTAGATCTGGGGTTCTGGTTGTAGCACATCTAATCTATGCAGGACTCTCGGGTGATAGTGGTTAACTTCTGAACAACTGTCTTACTTCCAAACTTCGCCAAATGGTAGGCTCCACAGTTTGCAAGCTTTGTATCTTTAACTGATATTGCACCACGCTTGTGAAAGTGGTTGGTAACTACTAAAAGTGAATGCTTTACCATACCACTTAGTTGTCACATTGTCTGGTTTTGTTTCTTTTTTAAAAGTAAATGTTGCTCCTAGTTTTTGTGCCACCATGTTACAACACCGTATAAAGTACCCACGTGTAAAAACAAATGTGAATTTTACTGTAAAAAGTTTATTGGGGAAAAATTGTAACTATACCTTCCTGGTCCCACAAAATTTCCAATCCAGTTTTTCAGGCACATGAAATTTCTTTCTGTAAGACATAGAAATTAGGGGAGCTCTAATATTGCTGAGTTTTGCCCATAAATAATTAGCATAACTGTGTGGAATTGGCTTGAAAATGTCTTTGAGAAAACGTCACGTTCATATACATATGACATTGATGAACTTATTAGGAAAGTCAACCCTGGAGGAAAACATGAACTTCCATTTAAAAAAATTAAGCCCTAATCCCTGTGCAGTTAGCCTGGGAATGTAAATCAGTATGAAAATATGTAAACTAGTCATGGGAGCTGAGTGGAACAAGCAGACTGGTCCACTTCTATAACATAAGGAATCATTTTGCTTACCATCTCCCAGAGGTAATCACTCTGCATATGGATGTGGTAAAGGGAAAATGAGTCACTTATGGGAGTCAGAGTGGACTAGTCAAAAAATGACTAGCTTAAGTTTCAAATAGCAAGAAAATTAATTCAAATAATCTTCAATGCTCAAATTAACCTTTTTTCTCCCTTTGCAGAGGATATTTCTCAAAGCCAAAAGCGAGGATGAAATTTTTGCATATCTTGGCTTGGATTACCTTGAACCCTGGGAAAGGAATGCGTAAAAATATGCTTTCTTCAGTACACAGCTTTGGTATATCTTTGTGTTTGTATTAGCGTATTATCTTTGTGTTTGTAGTATCCTTTTGAATTAGATATCTAAGTTAAAAGCATCAAATGTCTTTATTTATAAAGACAATTACCAAATAAAATATTAGTTAGAATTCACTATAGATGTTGATGTTTTATGTGCTCCTAGAATAAAGATCTATTGTAGCCCTGCAAACTTCTGTGCTTAAGTCAAGCACGCAAAATGTGAGTCTCCACAGTATTACTCCAGTTTTATGCTGATGGAGTTAAACTACAACTATCGGACTAAAACTATAAAGTGTTGCAGCGTGAATCAGAATGAAAATATATACTTGGTTGAGCTTGTGGTGGACTTACACTGAACTCTCCTACATGTCGCTGTTTGTCTGTGACTCAATATATTTTGAATGCCACATCCGCTCAATTCCAACATTTCAGATAATGTTCTAGGTATCAGTGGCCTGAACCCTATTGATTTTGGGGGAAAATTAGAAAACCAAAAGGGAAAAAAATAAGGGAGCCCTTAGGAGTAAAAAGAAACACCAGGAGTTACTGGTACATTGCAAAAACCCTGTCTGCCCCAGGCTAAGTAGGGAAGGGTGGCAGGTGGCTCTGGGCCCCTAGACTGCTTCAGCTAGCCCAATAGTGGCAACCAGGAGCTCTGAGACTGCAGCAATGGCAGCCAAGAGCTTCTGGGTTCAGGCAGCAATTTGAAGGGCCCAGGGCTCTGGCCACCGCTGCTGCAATAGTGACACGCAGGAGCGCCAGGATCTTTTCAATCACCAGACCCTGTGGCAACTGCCCTTTTGTGTCCCTCACCCCCGTCATCAGTCCTGCCAGTAGGGCCCAGCAGCAATTGTCTGTAGGTCAATAGCACTTTCCATCTTAACACCTCTCATCATCTTCCAGCATGACAATACTCCACCTCACCCCTGCCTATGCTCCCAATAAAGTTTAATGTATTGACATTCTGAACGATTTTTCTGCCAGGTAAGTCTGCTTCCTCCCTCACAAGTCTGCTTTCTGCATTATGCTGATTCATGAAGCACCCTTCCATTGTGTTTTGCATTGTGATACTGACTCTTAAGCAGCAATGGAGATTTTTCAATCCTAGTGCAATAGAATAAAAGCTACAGTTGCTCATCTAAATACAATGCTTAATTCAGGGCAAAAATAATCAGAAATTAAACTTTAGGATTGTGCCATTTCTGCATACTTCATACCATAGCGGAATTAATTAACATCCTGGTGTCCGCATAAACTACTTGCATCTTATAACTCCCATCTTGCCTGCAAATGCATTTCTCTCAGTTATGTCACCTGAAAAAGTATATGACAAATATAGTTATACTAGTCAGCTACCCTAACACTGGAGAAAACATAGCATCATTTTGATCTCATTTTTCTGTCACTTTTTCTCAGACTTTTTTATTATTTGGCACATAGAAAATGAATATATTTCTTGCAAAAAAATGACAAGGTGAAATAACTAAGATTCACAGAGAATTCATGAGTTACAAAAATTACTATTATTGAGTGAGGTTCTAATTCCTGGGAGAGGTTTTCTGATTTGAGTTATACTGGAATCAAACTAGATCTGGGTGGGAAACCTTTGGACTGGGGCCATTGATCCACAGAAAAATTGGGCGGGGGCCACACATAAATACTGGACTGGGGCCATTGACCCACAGAAAAATCGGGTGGGGGCCACACATAAATAAGAAGCAAAAAACCCAAATAAAACCTCAGACATGGCCTCCAGGTGGTAAGCAGAAATAATTTTTAAAAAGTTACACTCACCTCACTTATGTATCTCGGGGCACCAAAGTTCCCCTCACACTCCAGCCCTGCGAGGAGGCGCCAATCCCCAAGGGCCAGATTAACTCTTCTGGGGATCCTGGCTATTAGATTTTATGGGCCCACCCTAGGCTATGGCATATGGCCAAAATCAGGGGTTTGGTGTGTGGGTGGAGGCTTCCAGGGAGCGGGCTGAGGGTGGGGTTGCAGGTTCTGGGTGAAGGTAGGGTGCAGAAGTGAAATGGGGGTTCAGGGTGTGAGTGGGAGCTAGGGTCTGGGTGGGAGGTAGGGTGCAGGAGAGGACTGGAGTGCAGGGTGAGGTGAGGGTTCAGGGTCTGGGCAGCAGTAGAAGTGCAGGATCAGGCTAGAGTGAAAGAGGTCTGATTGGGAGTGGGATGCTGAGTCTGAGCAAGAGGAAAGAGGCGCAGAAGAAGTGAGTTACAAAGGACCTCGGGCAATGAGTAGGCTCAGCAAATAAGACAAATAGAGGCAAAGTCAGAAGATAAAGTATGTGTTGTTTTCTTGTACAGCCTTTGCTAACAAGAACAAGCTGTATAATTATGAAGCAAGAACAAAGTACAGGCACACTACTCCATTGGAAAGACTGCCAGCAGATGGCAAGGAGAAGATGGAAATGCTTCACAGTTACTCTGCTTCAGCATTCACTAAACAGTTATCAATTATAACAGGATGCTTATTGCATTAATAGAGGCCAAGCCAACAAGGTGTGGAGTTTCCTATTGATTTCAAAAGCACTTGAAAGGGCTCAGCACCCTACAGGATTGGCCCCTCAATTAAGAAAGGGAGAGGTCCTGAGGGGGACTTAGGCTGGAGCAGGTTAAGGAAAACAAAATCTAAATCACATATTGTAATCAAGACAACCTGCTACAATCCCCTAAAGTGTTAGTGAGACTGCCAGAGCTACTGGTAATAATTCTTGTGAACTCAAGAGGAGAGGTGAGGCCCAGGGGATTGGGAAAGGAGAAAGTGTAAAAAGGGCAGACCTGTGTTTATGAAGGGAGGAGGCTAAGCCAGAATTTCAGATCAGTAATCGTAATATGTAATACGTTGCTGGGATGATTAATAGACTTTATTTTTTTAAAGCACCTAGAGGAAAATAAAGTGATAAATCATGGGTAACATAGGCTCATCAAAAACAAATCATACCAAACTAATCAAGTGTTGGAGTCCCTAGAGGTTGTTTTAAAAATGTTCCTGCTGCCATGCCAAAGCAATTTGGTAAAGGGTGGGGAGAGGAGAGCATAGTAATTTTTAATAAGCTTCTGAGGTCTAACAGTTGATTGGTGACTCCGCCTTTGGGAAAACCAGAAGCCTTTACAAAGTAAGAGTAAAAATCACAATATGCTTAATATTTTTCATATAATTCAGATAATTTTCAATGGCTATCAAATATCCAGGAATATCTGGTGTCATGTTTACGAGCAATAAACAGGTTTTCATTTCCCACATTCTTTAGGCATTGTTCTGTTTTAGTGACAGATGAAGAAAAAAAATGGTAAAGAAAATTATTGCTCCAGACTGTCTCTTTCAATCCCTTTAAAGCTATCCTAACAGCAATGAGCAATGTCAGGGCATGCCTTACTTAGGCTGTAGATAACAGCACCAGTGGACCTGAATGACTCTCCACAGAATTTTGATAACAAACAGCGTAGCTCTTTGCACAGATTGCATTATGTATAAATAAACTCAGCAGTGCCCAAGGTTTCTGATGCTGAGATTGCTCTGCGAACTTGTCAGAAACCTGAGATCTATCTGTAATTTGTGTGTGGATATGGATACACACACACCATTTAAAAAAAATAAAAATCAGCATATTTCTCTGTATTGTCTTTCTGAGCTCTGTAAAGTTGTGTTTTACATTGCACACAAACCCTGATTTTACTTCTGCCAAAACTGCTGGACATTATACTTTTAGGTTATGTGAGTTTTCTTGTTATTCACAGAGTTCTGTGCCAGTGTGAAATGGACTCTCCCACCTAGAGTATTCTCCCCATGACATACTTTGTTCCATCAGCAACAATTTAACATAATATACTCCTGGGACAAAAAACATTCAGGCTGTGTCTAGACTGGCAAGTTTTTCCGGAAAATCAGCCGTTTTTCTGGAAAAACTTGCCAGCTGTCTACACTGGCTGCTTGAATTTCCGGAAAAGCACTGACGATCTCATGTAAGATCGTCAGTGATTTTCCGGAAATACTATGCTGCTCCCGTTTGGGCAAAAGTCTTTTTCCGAACAGCACAGTACTGTTTTCCGCAAAAAAGCCCCGATCGCGAAAATGGCGATCGGGGCTTTTTTGCAGAAAAGCGCGTCTAGATTGGCCACGGACGCTTTTCCACAAAAAGTGCTTATCCAGAAAAGCGTCCTGCCAATCTAGACGCACTTTTCTGAAAATGCTTTTAACAGAAAACTTTTCCGTTAAAAGAATTTCCGGAAAATCATGCCAGTGTAGACGTAGCCTCAGTGAGGAAAATGAAGAGTTCCATAAAAAAAATGAACACTGAGACCTTGGATAGTTTTGCAGGACCAACAGACTTCTGTCTGAATGACTGTTGGTGCAATAACATTCCAATATGAGCATTGCCACTGGTTTTGCTTGCTGGCAGGAAGTGACTTGAAATTTGGAAACAGGGTAACCAACGAGCAGAGGTGCAATCATTGTAATAAGATGGACCAACTAGTGTTTACCCAGCTGCATTTATGCATTAGATCTTAGTCTTTCCTGTACTTTGCTGCAAACGTGGCTGCCATCCTTGCCTACCAATTGCCCTTGTTTCCAAATCTTTGTTCATCAGACATCTTTTATTGTGATCAGTTAACACCAGACACACTGTGTCTTAGCTGATTAGATAGTGCCTCAAGGAACAGCACCACTTGATAAGTTCCCCCATCCCCACATCCAGCCAATACACTTTCCTGACATCTACCCACATGCATTTGCAATTTATCTTGTACAAGCTGTTGTGTGGAAGGAACTATATGTTCCCTTTATCAGACTCTCAGTTTAATCCGTTTCAGTCGTAACCTTTGTAGTTTGGAATGATATGGATCTCAAGGTACCCAGAATCTCTACCTGGGCTCTGTTCCAACTCTGAGGCAGTTCCTATTCAAACAGTTCCCTTGTGTGCTGGCTCCCTTCCCCCATCTTCTTCACAAAAGTGATGCTCTCACCCGGAGGCTTGGATTCTTGTTCTCTTTTTCCCACTTCATATCTTCTGTCCCTTTTCAAGCACATTAGATATTTGATATTACAGTTCTTGCCATTCAGTAAAGTAGGGCACTCTATCATTCCAGTGCCACTCCTTAAGTTAGTGGACAATAGGATAAACAGCAAAACCAGGAATGTTATTGGCTGAACAGATCATCCTTTATTTCTCCTCCTTGATACTCACGCCACCCTTTCGGCTCTGTCCCCAGCCAGATGCCACTGACACCCTTTACTTCTTTCTGTGAAGAGGTGTTCCTGGTAGTTCCTCTCATTGAAGGCTTTCTGAGTGGATCATTCTGAGAATCTGTCGAATATGGGTAGGGGCGGGGCGGGGCAGGGCATTCTCACAAGTTGCATAGTGCTTACAACTCCTACTAATTACTAATTTGTCTTAGAGTGTTAAATACACAAAGACATCTATCCTAGCCCCTTTACTCACACAAAGTGGCTCTAACTCCAGATAATCGCCACTATGTAGAGA